CGTAAGCACGATGCATAAAATAATAATCGATTGAAAAACAGTCCTTACGACGAACAACGAGACTTTCCTGCACGGTAAAATGAACGCCGAATAATAAAATTGTCGTAGCAGCTCCGATTACGTATACCAGCCGATAGGTCCGTAACAAACGGACTTTACGTATAATCGAATAAATATCTCGGAAGTGAAAATGTAAATAACCAGAGTGAGAATAATATTTTATACGAGCAGTTGCGATATTCAATCTAAGTATCCCATATTGGCAATACGAGCCACAACGGGGAGGAAGAAAAAAATTAAACAAAGACCCGGTACATATAGCGAATAATTAACTACAGGCAATTAGTCCACATCGCAGGAATTACCGTTCTTAACAAAATGAAAAAAAAGAGATATTAATTATTTGCGAAAAGAAAGACAGCTTTGATATGATTATTGTTATCACCCCCCCCCCCTTCCCTCCTCCCCGGCCACCAACTGTCAAGTACCAAATATTCTGCAAGCATATGAAGCGCAAGTGACAAGAGCACAGTCGTAGCTTACAGTTCGCTTGGAATTAACGTACAGTCAGAGCAAAAGATATTAGAACTTTGACGTCTTGTCTTAAAAATTGTCCTCGTGGCAAACGCACTTCGGCATTTTATTGCCAGCGCTACAGTAACTTCGAGAACATGGTGGGGATGTAAGACGAAGTCAGGGGTCGAATGCCGTAGATGGGGAATTCGTGAGAGTAAGTAAGGGTGGACACAACAGGATCATAGGGTTGGCATCGATTAAACAAACCACCCTATCTTCACCCTTCATTCCCTGGTCGAGTCCTGGCAAGACTAACCCTCCCCAACCCCCAGACCGTATGTAAAACTTCTAACGCTATAAAGCTACACGTGGCCTTTTACGACGCACATTCTCGAGTACGGTCGTAGAGATTGAGCCAAGTTCGTAGCAGAGGGGGAAAGGGTCGGGAGAGGGGGGGCTATCGTCATCGTTTATAATACGCATCCCCCCTGCAAACAGGTTCTCACGCAGATGCGTTTTGATAGGTGGACTACCTATTTAGATCGGAGGGGTGAACAGATAGGTGCGTGCGTACGTGCGTGCCTAAAACAACCTGCGTGGATCAGGTGTCAAATCCAAATCGTCCTGATCATATTGTACGGCGAAAAAATGGTGTAAATATGTCAGGGACGTATGAATGTGAACCGAATATGCGTGCACGTAATACGAGTATTTTTTTGGATGGTTGATTTTTTCATATATCGACGTCACCCGTTAGAGTTTAAATCTTTATCGCTGTCACGTTACAAAAATTCCACGTGTCTTGTAAGATTTTTTGGACGCAGTCTCGTACCTTAGTATGAACGGATTAGCGAAATCTTCATAAATTCTTGAAGGAATTAAGGAAAATGATTGGACTGTAGAAAGTCGTAGATATTATTATTATGAATCCTCGACTGTTATCGTGATAAGTAATGGCGTATAATTATTACGAAGTTATGCTCGCAATAATTCACATTTCTTGACTGGCCTTGCGGGTGCTGCATCTTCGTCCCTGTCAAGAAAGAACTCGGTACCCTCGCGGCTCGTGCAGTTTTATATCGATTCGTTTAAACGAATAAGAGTAAAAATGGTCTGTCGCTAAAGTTTCCATGTCTATCGGAAACACAGTAATTCCCCAATCGTCTTGCAATTAGGTCTGACGTAAAATACTAACAGAAAATTCAGTAAAGGAGGTTAAGGAATAAAAATACAAGGAGTCGTCACGAAGCTGTTACCGTTGCCAACTTGACCATCAAAAACGTCTGCACGTTTGGATCAAAAAGTATCCTTTCTCTTTTTTTCGCCATTTTATTTTCTACGATCGTTTCACAGCCTTATAAAGATTCCCAAACGAGGAAACGTCAGCGCTTGACATTTCAGTTTGTAATTTCATTGAAAACGCGCATGCTCCATACATCTGTGTAGGCGGTTTGAAAGCAACCCTCCTGGCCAATAGGCTTTCAAGGGTGGAACACGCGAACGGAACTTGCGCCGAGCTTTCGTCTCCGGCCATCTTGAAAACTAGGTCCTATTATTGTAAGTCAAACGATCGCTGATAAGTAATGCGAGCCGGAGCATTCGCGATAATAGACTGTTTGTTATTATTTATTATACGGAGACTTGGGAAACCAGCAGTGACTACTACTAGTCATGCTTATGGCATAGTTGGCCATTTCAGATTCGACTTATCTTGCATCAGCCGACCGTCGGACTTTTCCAGAAACTGGATAGAAATCTAGCGACCTTATAAAATTACAGGGTAGCTCAATGGATCCTCAAGACTTACGAGGTCATAGGTTAGACGATGGCAACAAAGAAATTTACTGACTGTAGCAATATATATTTCCTAGACAATAAATTCTTGTTCCTAGACCTTATACCTTACTGATTATTGCGTCACGTTATTTATTTCCTTACCATTAGGAATCTGGTCCTGTTTATTTTCACTTTGTAGAGACACTCCTACGTAAGGTCTTTTTCTTCATATTTCATATAATTTTCATTAGGAGTTCATGCCAACCACGTGATCCTTTCAGAAGCGTTTAGTTACTTAACGTCTTCAATGACTATATGAAATTTGTGACGCGTAGAGTGACGTCATTTTTCATAGGAGTGCGAACCCAAATGCCAAATCCGAATGGGGGCATTTCTGATAGCTTGTGTTTAACCACGTTGTTAGCGATCACTTTACAGTTATAATTTGTACTTTTATTATTGTATTTTCCGCGCATTTAACGTATACGTGTTACTGAGGATGGGATAACTACATCCAGACGTGTTCATTAATTGCTACGCAGATATGTAGGTGGACTTTTCGTGTTTATATCGTGTTTGCTCCTATAAACGAAAACGCTACCTTACTATTATTGTAATATTTATAAGTGCGCCGCGATAAGAAATGGAAGCACTGCGTTTTGAATGGAGGTGATTGGAAAATATTCGCGACATCAGAATTCGCAGCTGACCTACAATCCTTTGTTAGAACGAAGTACAAGAATGGCAGATTTAGCGATGTAGATAAAGTAGCTATTTATAAATTTAAATCCATTCCGTATATTATCATTAGCTATGATTGAAGGATAAACAGAAATAGAATATACACAACTGAAACATAAGAAAAAGCTGCAACGATTGGTGAAATTATTCCACGAAATTTCAACTGTTACAAAACATGGTCCAAGTATCACGTTAAGCAAGCTATTGTATGAATTACTGAGGCAAAAATAAGTTCTACATACTGTAAAGGGAGATGAGAAATAATTATGTGTAATCAGAGAATTACTCCAGTTACCTCTAAATTTAAAATCTAGTAAAGATTGAGAGACGAAATATGAAGTAAAATCAACATAAGAAATCCGATTGCAAGAAATATGAAAATATAAAATCACCGAATAACAAATCAACCTCAAACAACTCGAAGACAAACATTATTAAGTAAGTACACATTTTCTAAGATTAACATTAGAAACGTAACGTTTACACAGGCAATTATAAATAAAAACGAAGCGCGCGTACAGCAAGCTACGAGAGATGTCGCTAAATATGAATAATTCCGTAGATTATATGTAAAAGCATTCTGCTGACAAAGCGCGGCCATATTTTTCAAAATTCAGGAAGTACCGTTACAGAGCCAAACAGAATAGACAACAATGCTCTGTGAGTTAAAAGTTATCAGCATGTATAAAATTCGTAAATAATAAACAACTAAAAAATAATATACGTAGATAATCTCACTGTTAAAAGACCAAAGAAATAACTGGGCCTCCACAAGATTAGCCTCATTATTTGTGACGTGATCTAACATAACCTCACTACTTCAATTACGTATCCCAGAAACTTTGTCGTTCTCTTGGAGCCAGCTACAGACCTTATATTGACCTTCGGTTCGGTAAATGATGCTCTACTCCCCCATAAGGATTAACTTCCCAAATCATGCAAAATATATGCATAACAAGAAGTAACCATGCACAATGGTTATCGTGAATTTGACAAGATTCACCTTCTCCAAGAGTGAAAGAGGTTCGATGGCGACTCTGAATACTGCGGATACATTACGGCACAAAACAACGCAATGCAAAATATAAGTGGACATAAAGGTTTCGGTGTGAGCATCGGTAGTGCACAGTTAATTTGCTTACTTATTAGCTTCTATGATGCTGACAAGAAATGGAACTGTGCAACGTTTACGAATGAACCGCGTAACAGGAATGCGAACAGTTTTTCAACGCGTGGGGGGTCCGCGCCTGGACAAAGTAGGCTAAACGCACGTATATACGTGCAATAAATACGCACGCAATGATGGTGCTTTGAAAGGATTGAAGAACTTGTTATTAGAATACGCAGTAATACTCTTTCATGCTAAGGATTCCCTCTAATTTGTTGATTGGAGTTGGACCGTTTCTCTACTTCATTCGTACACGGATAAATTGTTCAATCGTAAGAGTCACGTTCCTTCAAGATCCGTGTCAAAGATCTATGGAACGAGGTCGTATCTCGTCAAAAAATCCCGTTTATTCAACAATTTTTCAAATGTCACTTTCCTTGACAGTGGCCACGTACATCCCGTTACTTAGTTGAGATTTCATTTATCGTCTACTTTCTTTCTCACATATAAAAAACTGACCAATTATCCGTTTCAAAAATGTCTGATTCAGTTTATCATTAATTCCACACAAATGAAAAATGCAACGCTATTACCCAGTAGCGCAAGTTAAAGTGTAAACTCGTTTACAAACCCAAACGTGGTCGAGCAGATGCGACGGAATGGCCGATACACAAGGAGACTCGAAAAAGAACAGTTGCCTGTTAACTAAGGTCAATGTACGCACTTATTACTTTCTTGGGTATCGACACTGCACAAGGTGCACTAAGCAATCTGATTTTCAGCTATTAGATGAACTGTCAACAATTCGGGTACCTTATAAACAACAAAGTATTCTAATATCATATTTAATTCCACTTACCAAGAATAGCCTGGAGGGTTTGCTCATCTCCATCCCCGATGACATCCATGCCTCCTTCGATCGGGCCCCAAGGATCTTCCGGGCCTCACCAGGCCCCATCTTGTCTCTGAGCAAAGTTACCAGCTACGACCCACATCTTACTCTATAAGTTCTCCGGCACTAGCCAGTTTTCACCCTTTATGAATACACACCACTGCTAGGAGTTTCCGTAGATAAACACTGCAGGAACCATCATCGGTCCGATCTCACTTATAATTTAAAAAAACTACACAATCTCCCGGGTATCGCACGTCAGAATCCTAGCGCACGGACTTGGACTCGCAAACTCCGTCGAGAGTACACCAGAGTACACGCTTACGCTTCTGTGTCCGTCACGGAGAACGACGATCACGTGATCCGCAAGTATTATTTCGATCGTCGTGCGTGTGCGTGTTCGGTTCACACTGCTTCCACTGGTGTATTCGACTTGGTGAAGTACGGGAACCGGTTAACCTGGTGTCATCGGTATCGCAGGAGCAGGTAGACCTCCTTTTGATCGGCTTCGTAGGTTCTATGACAGACAGATTTGTTCTGAAAAAATCCGTCATCAGATTTATATTACGAGATGGCGCCAGTGAGCTGACTGTTGTTACGTTATGTTATATTCTTTATGACACGTTCGATATTCTGGAAATTTATCCTGGAATTAATTTCAACTTAATTCAAGACTTTTTTTTTCATTTTATTGCATTAGAATAATAAGGATTTATGGAAGTTTAGAAGTTTGGTGCATTTTCTTTTAAATTCAACCGTATGATCTCATAGTTCTACAGACTTCCTAAATGACAATGCTCATCGTGAACAATGTATCACTACTGCATATTTATACTTATTTTTTGTGCATTTTTATAAGGTTTTATTTATTATTTAAAGTATTTCGTTTTTTCTACTGTCTCATTAGTAATGGGTAATGGAAATTTTCGCTGACACGTATCAGTCGTTATACCGTCATATGGTAATACTCGATTATGTTGGAAACAAAACTAACACCGACTGTCGGGAAGTTGCGTCGAAAGATAAAAATGTATATGTTTCCAATGCCTAAAAATGAATCCTTAAATGCTCCTTATGTTTTTTAAAAACTGTATTGCTATTCCAAAAACCCGAGCAGATTTTCATATAATTTTCTTAATAAATTAATTGCTATCAATTTACTCCATTTTGCATCTCAATTGGTTCCCTATTTTATTAAAGCATCTTTATATAACAAGTAAAATTTGAATTTCTCTTGGACCAATTGCAAACGTAGCAATATGATTTATTTTCGAACATAGATACCTGTGACAGGACTGAAAATGTTATATTGTAAACTGCACGTTTGGATCAAAAAGTATCCTTTAAAGTATTAACTTACAACGCATTGTCTCGGTTCATTCTCGGACACACTTGTGTCAGAAAAAAAAAGTTCAGACGTACTGTAATGTTTTTCATATCTCCCGAGGAAATTTATCGACGGAGGTAGATGGCGTCCGATGTAGTTGGTCACGTAGAAGGAGCGCGATGGTTCGAATTCGCCTAAAGAGCACTGAAGTGCTTGATTATGTTCACACGACGGTCTAAAACCGGTTTAGTTAATATTAATGTAAAGTAATTTTTTCGTTGGGTAAACGACAGGCTGTCATTTTTGAACGATCCGTGCCCTGTACATACAGCCAGTTGCCTGTACTTGACGCTATACTCGACGGTTTCAGTTTTCCACATAACAATTTCACGTTTTCGTTGCGATTTTAGGTATAATATTTATGAAATTTCGGTTAATAGTTATCGTTTTGGTTCTTTATTTTTCCGATTATTATCGGTTATCCATTTCGATTTCAGTTATCATTACGGTCCCTGGTTGGAAATAACATTAGCACACGTTGAAAATGATTACGTTCTCTATATGCACAGATGACAATGACTATGCTCATGCAGATTTCCTAGACTTCAACATACGTAGATCTACTTCTCATCTTCTTACGAGAGTACAATGATAAAAGACAGTCGTTAATATAAGTTAAGATCTAAACAAGGCTATAATAATTAATTTGTAATATTTGAGATGCAAAAGTTGATCATGTGTAAAATACATTACTGCATAATTCTTAAATAGATGTATAAATAAATAGACAATACTTGGATACAATAAACATTTATTTACGTCACATAAGTACAATTGAACACCAAGGGGTTACTAAAATTATTTCATTTTCATTATACTGTAGTTATTACTTTATTTTACTGTGGTTTGTGGCTTCGCGCATTCATAAATACTTTACTCTCAATTCATTTACACAAATACATACTCTCTTAAATATATTTCGCTCTCTGTATATGCATATATATATATTATTATATACACACGTATGTATATCACAAACTTTCGCTCACCATGTAATTACATTCACGCCATTCCAAACTAAGCATATTAACGCGCTGTAAAACGTAGCACAGATGGATAAATAAAAGCGAAAATAACATATTTCTGCGCACGAAGTTGAAGTGAACAATAGCTTTTGATTTCATTAATGGGACTGGGGAGCATTAATGGCATTGTACGGTTTTCGGACATAAAAAAAAAAGTATCAGAATTTTTCGGAGATTTTTTAAATCCAATTTCGATACCACTCTCGCAATGATTGATCCAAAACTTGTTTTCTTCAGTTTTGGATTAGTCATTGCGAAAGTGATATAAAAATCAGGGTTACCGCGCAGAATGTGTCGTTAACTTTGCTTACGGAAAGAATCTCTGGCAAATTATACTATTTCAAATTTTTTCTTACACTTTACTTCCACAGTAATGCGAAACCCCAATCCCCTTAAGAGTGTGACATTATTTAGGCACGTGCGGATAATCCAAGAAATTGTATGCGACTCGAAGGTAAAGAGCGAAACTGTTTGAAAATTTTATATAGTTGAAACATTTACTGTTTCATTATCCAGATGTAATTCATTTTTTTTTGCAATTTCTGTTTCATTTCTACAGCACTTTGCAACTTCCACAAAATTCGAAGAGTCTGCAGCATAATACAGTAGATACGCATCGCCTATCGAAATACAATATAAATCAAATTAGCACCAGTGCTTTGCGATGCAATAAAAAAAAAATAAAAAAAACATTATACCAAAATCATAGATAAATTTGATTACAATGTCTGATTATCAAATTAGAGGCTTATAATAAAGCCGCAAAACTCTTGATGTACCAGTATTATGTCAAGTACTAAATGTATTAAGGCATATCGTGTCATTCATACTTTTCCAGTACTTGACCATCTTTTCGGCAAGTAATTACAAGATATTGGCAAGCAGTCAAATATAAGTCTAGATGTATCGGTCGTTTTACATGAAACATGTTATATACCACTGTGACCAATTTCACAAGGTCTTTGGGCAATGTAGTGCGTATGTAGCAACATCGCTATTACAGAGCTACAAACATTGTCGCTACACGTCTATAGATACTCATATTTCTGAGACAGTATATGACTTAGGTACTTTAAAAGGATAGTCCCCGGAGAAATGTAATTAGATTCGTAACGAGACTGTAACTTTCATTATATCTTGGAGATGCAAGACCATAGAACATTACTGACCGTTAAACTACTTGACTTTGGTGTCGTCTATTACCGCTATCAGTCAATGAGAACGGTTTTTAATTTGAATAAGATGGAAAAAAGGAGAAAATGTACAGATCATATTATATATATATAAAAAAAGCTCGCAAATTTACGACGCAAACTGATTTGTAAAATGAAACTTCGCAACGGTGGCATATTCACTGAATTCGTATCTATACGTACTTGACTACTAATTTCATATATTTTTTGTTTATACTTCATTTTGTGTATTATAATATTACGCTTGAGATTACGAATAATTTCGCAGGGAGTTTCAATAGTTTAAATGACTTATGTGAATTATGTAATCCCAATAATCAACGTCCCTCTCAGCGACATCGTAATGTTAAATTAATTAATTTGTCTTTTAATCTACTTAAGCATGGCATTTTCAGTTCGATCTAACTTACATACAATCTTTAACGCGTAATAAAGTAATCGTAATATTGTACTACTCGCATTCAGTCTTTGTCAATAAATTAATTAAAGATCAAGAGAATAATGTTTAATAATTAATCTTCAAAAAACCAAAGAGTAATTAGGAACTGGAATCAGGATAGAAATGTATAATCTTCATGGGTCCCAAATTGTTAAAGCATCCATTCTTAAATCCAGTTATTCTTGCTATACCTCATTCGCTCATACAGTATTCAAACAAAATAGTTGTCACACTTGGCTACAGTTGACAATCAACTATACAAATCCTCTATACTCCTGGGCAACCCAGTGAATCTTTCTATATGCATCATAATATACTATATATATATATATATAGATATATATTGCAGAGCTACATGAAAATTGCTTGAATGCTCTATTGTAAACTCTAAAATTCTCCCATAAGACAACCGACAAATAATTCAAGAATATAATTAACACACCTGTTTTCACATGAAACGAAGTTCACAAGATCATCCGACTATGAATTTCCATGTAAAAATCGACACTGCCTTCGCTGTCGCGAGCACAAGAAACAAGAATGTTCCTCGCGCACTAAGTGAGATATTTTTTCTGCAGCGCCGTTAGCAAAGAAGCATTTCCATAAAGCAACGCAATATAAAAGCTATACTCTTCCTCCTTACGCTTCACTCTCAAAGTCGAGATTCTTATCGACCAAATGACACAAGTCTATTTTGCCCATTTCTTGACAAACTGTTTGATTGGACTTGAAAATAAGGTCCGCCGAAAAATATACTCCACAGGGCCAGTCGTTTATATGTTTCCTGTCCTCTCTTTTGAGCTTCATGACTTTGATTTTAAATGTCAACCATTCATCGTGGCAGTATTAGTTATGGCAGCTTGATAGGTGAGACTTGACTCATTAGACTCACGGATTTGACAAGAGTTCCTTTCTTTTTGTGATCTCGTAACATCAATTGTAATTTATCTTTTTTGTCGACAAGTTCTTTGCACCAGGTATTATCGATGATTCGTCCAGCGACATCGAATCGGTTGGAAATAAGGATGATCTGTCCTTGAGATTATGCTTTTCATGCAATTGTCTTTCAATCACCTGTCGTAGGCGTCGTATTTTCAAGCGTCTTTTCGAACAGACAAAGTGCTCTGTGTACGAATTCATACTGTTCTGCTGTTTGAACCATGCCACCACGATCGTACCTAATTTAAAAATTATAAATATTATAAATGAATTGAATATAAAATTTTGATCACTTAGAAACTTGCCCCTTAAACCACTATATATTTGGAATAATTAATGCTTACCTCATTTGACATAAGATACCCAATACGTCGACGTTTCCGTCTCTCAGAAGCTGAACCATTCCTGTTGCTAACGCTATGAAGCATCCTGTTCTTCCTATGCCTGCACTACAGTGTACGATTATAGGTCCTGGCAAGGAATTCACTTCTGCTGCTAGGCCAACTAACGCTCCAGCTGCTTGAGGCACGGCATGATCCGGCCACGTATCATACCTGTTAAAGTAGAGAAAACGAAAGTAGTTATTAAAATTTTGATTTCTAATTACTTATACTTCCAAACGTAATAAAATAAGAGGTAGTTACCAGTAATGTTGTACATTTCGTCTTTCTCCTTCGAACCTAAGTTCTAAATCTCTGATTGTGTATCCATCCTTATTTTCCATGGATGTAACAATCACAGTAAAAGGTCCAGCTTGTATCCGACTGTTAATATCCAACGGGAAATAGGCGTCGCACTTAGTTTTCGCAGCTTCGTGTAATCTCGTCATCATGACAATTGCTGGAACCCTTTCAGCCCAGACCATCCGCCAGAAATCAGATATCGTATGAGCCAAAGGACCTTGCGTCGCAATATAGCGCGCATCCTGACCATCATATCCCTATGATATTTTACATAGATATTATTACACTTTTAATAAAAGATATAATAGAATACTAAAATTAACAGAAACTCTCATGTTACTCACGCGAATATAGTTAGCGTTAATGTAGCTAGCGAGAGGGTCGTCCGATCCTGGCAGGATGACTCTTGATTGAGGATTTGGTAATATGGAACAATAGCGATTTTTTATACCAGATCCACAGATGTCCACCTTGTCCGGAAGATTTAGTGGAACTTCCCAAAATTCCTTATGCAACGATACTGGATCTCTGATGATCTTGTGAAGCTGAGCTCGTGATAAGACGTTTCCAGCACTCAAAAGAAATTCCTCGGCTGTGCACTCACGAGTTGGAGTTACTATATGTGGTGGACTATCGGGTGCTGGTGCCAATTCTATCGTCAAGCTTGCACTAGAACCACGTCGTTCCAGAAGTCCCTTAGCTTTTATGCGTATAGATTCAGGTCTACGTTCCGGCGTTGTCACGGTCATTATCTACAAGAAAAATGATGTGAATAAATATTAAAGGATATTTGATATAATCAAATTTGCAAATCGTTTAAAAGGAAATTACCTCGGGTAATGCAGATGAATGTGTAATTGGTCGAATCGGTTGTACTGAGACAGGCGGTTTCATAATAGGCTGACAGACCCACTGTGCTTCAACAGGATCCTTAGATTCTTTTGTTAATTTCTCTGGAGGGCACACTGCACCTTCTTCCACCAGACCACGCCTATCACCATCTTCTGTATCCTTTTCACACGACATTTGCTTCCGCAGCCATAACAAGATCTATTAATTTAACATGACACTTCACAATAATATATTTCCATATAAACAGGATGCAAACTTGATTGCATGCATATATGATGTGTTTATACTACTGTTATGAAATATTAATATTACCAGGAAAGTGAAGAAAATAGCACCAGCAATGGCACACAGTACTACAAAGAGTGGCAGTTGCCAATCCATCCATGATAGAGTAGTGGTAGAACTGACTTCCTGACTAGCACGGGCACCAAGTTGTGCCACTTGTAGATCCATTCCAGCATCGTCCAGTCCTGTTGAGGACTGCCGGATCCTGGAGACAGAAATTAATTTAGAAAGTTGGTTAGGATATATTTTATAGAACTCTGCATACTTTGTTTTAATATTTTCATCAAATTAAATAATTACCTGTGATGGGACCGAACAGACATCCCCTCGGTAGCTGGCAGCAAGGAAACTGGCAGTACAGTATCTATACGCCACCTTTGCTCACCAATTAGGTAGAATGTTTCCAAAGAGCTAGTACTGTCATCATCATTGTCATTTGAAATGTCATAATGATTGGCATCGCTTATATAATGACGGGTTAGAGGAGTCCCTGTGCCTCCTGTAACAATAATTATAATTTATTTTTCAAATTCATTTTTGGTAATAAATAGCATTTTACATGATCTTTTTAAGATGTATAAGTATGTTCAAGTTAAAAAAAAGCATAAAATTATGGAAAAAACCATTTTCTTAAATTCAATAAAAATTTTAATTGATTTATAAAATATTGTAAAACAAAATGGAAAAAATAGAGTAACTATTATTTCTCCAATATCAATAGCACTAGTACTTACAATTACACATTATCAACTCTTTTAAAAGTCTTAAATTGAACTAAGACAAATAAATCTTATCATCCCTCAATAGCAAAAAAATAAGTTATCTCCCAAGGCAGCTCCTGAATCATTCGTGCTATCACTCGTCCATAAATAAACTTTCAATGAAATTCGTGCAATCGTTCGACAAACATAATTACGTAGTAAACGTTAATATTCGTTAGATCATTTGTTTGGACGCAATCACATTCAAAATTTTCATATTCAACGTTTATCTCGACCTTGGAAACAGTTTCTATCTCTTTCAATTTCCCTCAAGGTCTCATTGCTCGTGATAGATAGCTACACCGGGATCTCTCAAGGTTCACATAGCGATGTCTGATTAACATTTCTTGGAGAGTAACACTCATAGCTCACAAGTCCAGGAAACGGAAGGGTGACAAGTAATATAAGGGAAGAGACGAGATACGCCGATCTCCTTCTAATCACAATACAGGAAGTAAACATTAGATTCATTTTATGAACGGAAAACCCGTGAAGCGAGGAAGCTGAGGAGATGCAGCTGCACCAATGAGAGCAATGCACCTGCCAAGTGGATTTAATAGCATCGGACGAGTCACAAACACGCCTACACACTGTCTACACACGATATCCTCACGCGCATACAGAGAACCAACACGAAACGGACTACATCCTGTTTTCCAGTAGCAGATGGGACTTGCGCAGGAATAAAAACACGCACACAAGAGGGAAACAATATCAACTGAATATCAATTTGAAATAATAAATATTCCTACAGTCCACAATACCTTTAGCTATAAACGCGTGCACTAATATCGCTAGAACAGCTTGCTTGAAGATCAAGTGTATCCTTCCATTTGAAACTAGCGGTCGTAAAGGCAACGAGACCGCCATATTGACGATGAATACCGACCCAACTTATCTGGGTGAGAATTTCATTCGAACTGTTCGGCTTGACTCGGCTCGGCTCTATACTGCTCGGCTGGATAGTCGTTTCGTGCTGGGAATCGAAGTGGGGATGGGAAAATGCATCAACCAATCGTATGCCTCCATGGGCTCTGCAATAGCCAATCGCGTCACTTCTTTAGCATCACCTCCTACTATTTGGCGGGACATTCTCACGAGGGATGAGAGGAAAACACATGCAACTATCTACGTTCACTCTCTTTGGGATTTATGATGGACATAGAACATAATCGTAAAGTATACGTAATCATATCAGTAAATTCAGAAAGAGTATTTACGTATCTTTTAATTCTCTTATAATTATCATTCAGGTCATAGAGTATCTCTCCAAAGGCTACCAAATAAAAATGACGTAATAAACGAACTATCTTTTATCAAGTAACTAGTACGCTGTTCATCATTACGAATGTGTACATCCAGGAATTCTCCAAAAAAGTAAGCTTAATGATATATTAATTACAGCTCCTTCCATTTGATAAATTGAACGAATATTCAACGCTGATATTAACCAAACGACTATGAACTAGATACATCATAAAAAAGTTTTCTTAGCTATTAGTAACAAGCGATACCATTAGCAATAAATTGTCGATGCGGGAAGCTTGTTAGCAGCGTTATTTTATTTTGCGTAAATATAGCATATGGTTGATAATTAGTATATTACCATGAAACAGAACGGCGTCCATGCATTGCCACATATTTCGTTGAATTCTTGCACGTCCCTTTTTTCGATACAAATTGTTAAGAATAATTTTTACCAAAGGACTATTACTTTCTCTTTCAACGGTTCAAGCCATTTCTTTGTATTCGTTAACGCAACTCGTCTGGCTGACTCTTTTCAGATCCAATTCGTGAGTATAAACCCGAATGTATACTCGAAAATATCGCGATGATTCACAGAACAGGAAAGACTCCATACGTCCAAGCCTGCCACATGTCGTGGTGGTATTCTTCTTTTATTTATTAATTTATTTATATTGTCATGATCGCTGTCAATTCTTTGATTCGATTTCTCCCACAGGGTGTTAGTCTCGATTGCATTATAGTGTACACAATTCGCAGCGTTCGCCTGCCTGATTCTCGGCTCGAATATATCACAATGATTTAGCGAATCAAGTCAATTAATTGTTAGAAACGGCAAATTTTCGAGTTTGGAGTAACTCAAGTGTAAGATATATCCCAGGCGTGGGTTATTTTTAACCAATCCCCTCATTCGTTTAATCTTAGTTTTTTTTCTCGGTACATAATTTTTTCACGATCTTGTGCTTTCTTTACGCACGACCGATATATATTAACGGAAATGTACTATTATGTAATTACGAAGTTAGTTACATTTTAAGCGGGTTTCTCTTCATTGAGTATTTTATTAAATACTTCCTTTTCTATGCGTATATAAGGCGCACACGAATACTTTATACTCGAGTATATATTTAATTATGTCAAGGTTTTTAGTGTAAATTTTTTTTTAATACAGTGAATACATCTGGATTTTATATAACTTTAGAAACACCCTAAGTCTCACATTCCTTATATTTACGAATAAACATATATTTTAGATATAGGCAAAATTTCTAAACCACTTCCTTTGAATATTTCGATATTGTACGTAAAATGTAGATTTATTCTACTTCTATTCAATAAGTCATTCCCGAGATTGAAAAGAACAAGTGATTTTACGAAATAACACATACAAATAAATAGAACACAAAATTAAGGGTAAAAATAATAAAGTCAATTAATTCCCTTAAAAAATTTTTTTAACATTTTGTATTTACGCCGTTAAAAAGATTTTCATGATTCTATATATCAGTCAACGTAAATCATAAGTTACAGTAAAAAATTGCAGTGATTTGTCAAAATTTGAATTTATGCATAATAAAGACCTTTAGAAAATCCTCCCATTGATCCGATATGAAATGTTTGATTACTACAAGTGGACAAAAAATTAATTAATTCCCTAAACGTCTAATGCTAAAAAGTATTCTAATGCCGCCAATGCGTTTATAATCATGGACAAAGAAAAAAATTTAAATAAACGCGTAAACTCGCGCGAAGCCACAAATCGAAGGGCGGCTGTGCTACTGACTGAGTTTGCTCTGGCCTCGCCGTCGGGAGCTCCATTCATCGGCAGAGCTTTTCGAGGGTACGCGCACACTTGCGTAAAATGGGCGCTGCGATTGGCCTTCGCACGAATTTGCGTGGGCGGTGGGCTACCCGGACCGACAGAGCTTTTACCAAACCTGATTTCATCCCTGGTGCCTCATTTTTTTCAATAGCTTTTTCAAACTCAGCCGGAAGCTCATGGCATTTTAGTTTACATAAGCAGTCATTGAAAGAAGTTATCTATGAGCTTGCGATGATCTGGCTAATACGTTGAGTCTAGACTCTAGACCAGCTTTGAGATTCATAGCTCGCCAAGAATAAATATACAAATCTACTTTAGAAACTCTAAAAACCCACACATTATATACTTTCCATAGTATACGAATAGGAATCATCGACAGACCTTTGAATTCTATAGATATACTTCTCTCTCTCTTCCGGATACTTGGCTTTAGTTCCTTATTAGAAACAACTACCTGTGAATTCTTTATACTTGAGTAATGAAACTTTCAAATTTTTATGAATATCGCATATTATAATATATCCTATATAGTAAAACAGTACCTTCAACGAATAAAATAAAGCCTAATTGTATTCATATATAGCAAACGTACAAAAATCATATAAGATTGTATATACAGAGCTTTTAATACCTACTAAAAATTGAACCATAGTATCAATAAAGTACCCATACTCGATGCACAAATAAATGAGATATAGGTGATACATAAGAGCTCTTACGTTGAAACTCATAAGAGCGTGTTGTCTCGAAACCATATTTTACTCGTTAGTCGCTTATAGTTGTAGAAGGTGTTAGTACAGCATAGTGCAAGTGAGCTATATAACAAGAAAGAGCCATTGTCCATAGTAGGAAGTCGAGTATCCTTTAGAAAGCTTACACGACATTACTCTCATTCACATAACACATAGTACGTTCATTCTAAGTTCTACGTGAACCGGAAAAAGCGTGGTAAACCAACGCGATGTTGAAAACTTTGGGAAAACAACAATATCGATTATATACTTGCAGGAAACTGAAGTGCACACGTCAAGAAGAACGCGTGCGAGAATGACAGGTTTTGTAAAAGCTTTGTCAGCTGCGTGGGACGCGGTAAAGCCATACTCAGGTGGTGCGTAGGCGTTTCTTTTTGCGTAACGAACATAGCCTACGAACGACACTTTGCCACTTACCTCAAAACCTTCAAAGACGAGATGCGTTCTGTGATGTAGCAAACTAGAACTTGTCGCACAGAGACGAGTCACACAAGCAATCATCAGCAATGCGATTAAATGATCTTTCTTAAAGATTCGTGAGATGTCACGACGTATTCTGTTTTCTCTTTATCCTGTACTTAGTCGTGCTGGAAACATTTATCGATGGGACTCCAACATCTGTAGTCGTCCTATTGCCCACGCTTCTCTTCTTCTTATTTTCTCTGGCCACGCTTTGCTGTACAGAAATAAAACACTTGTAAGTAACCACGACACGAAAAACTTTTGTATTTTCTTTGTGAGGTTATCTCGCGCGGGAATAAGTGCATCTCTATGATATTTATGGATCTTTTAAGGACGCTAGTGACTTTTTTATACGTCAGAGGCAGCACGTGATATGTCAAGTCAAATATACGAGATCTTGATCAGTGTGACAGGAGTTTGAATAAATTGTACTATAATAACTTTTGAAAAGAAATATTTTTTTTTCATTTGCATTATTTCGTTATACTAAAAGTTCACAGCTTCATACTTTTTTTATATACGTTCTTTGTATGTGATTAATTATAAAATTTTCTCCGTTATGAGTATAGGAATATTTGTATGACTCAAATTCTCCCTTGAAATGGATTTTTAAATTTTTATTTGGCAATACTGAATGCTCTGCTATGGTTCTCGAGGATAATTGCTCTAACTATAGTTTTGTGATTGACGGAAATAACGCGATAACACAATGTAAGACTCTTGTATCATCGGGTACCTTGCACCGCGAAGTTGCATTGGACGCATCTGAATGGCGTCTGAACGGGTTGCAAAGTGACGGTGAACTGCATTCAGTTAACCGAAGGCAAAGAGGGATAGACGCGCGCATTCGTGACACGGATCCACTCCTACCCTGCAGCTCTAGCAACATGCAGGATTAAATTTACGTTACGTTAATTCTTCCCTTATTTTCATACTCTCTTATTGAATTGTTACTATCACAATTAATTAAAAGTGTTTGTCAATGAATTTGTTGAAATATACACTCCAATACAAAGTATACTCATGTTCTTTTATACAATCTTCAATAGCATTTAACGAATAATTTTGTAATAATTGTATAGAAATAATACTTGGTAGTCTCTTAGCAACATTTATCTTTTTTATTGACACTACATAAATAGAAATTAGTAAATTTCGTTGTACTATAAATGACTGAAAATAAAATTTTACAATAAATAAATACTAAATATATTATCATTGAAAGTATATACGACATACTGATCCCTCAAATTACCAAAGAAGGTACCTTTAAAACATTTTACTGAAATAAATCTTAATATGTACTGAGGAACATTCTGTTTCGCAACTTGTACCTTCCGTGAGTCACGAACATCTTTTTTGTACCTGTTAAGAAGGTCTATTACTTAACGAAATTTAAGTCCCTCATTCCCTCAATGGAAGGCTACCCTAAATTGTCAACTCTTGAAGACAAGGGTACCAAGTATTTTCAATACGTTCCTGAAACTCGGAAAGCGTGTGCGCGCCGTGCTGGCTCTACCAGACCCTCAACGTGAATTCCATTTATCGCGGGTAAACCTCCGGGAAGTTGACGATGGGCTCAGGAGGGGAATGTTGAATGAGGACTCGAGGTTTTGAGACTAGCGGAGGGAAATGTTGGCTAAAGGGAAAGGAAGGGGTCGAATGTAGGCTACTTCTGTCAGCGGACGGCGTCCCCAATCGATACACGCAGCCACAGACTATAGAGCTGAGACACTGTCGATTTTTCTTGACAAATTGAAAGTGTCAAAAGGGCCACAACAAACATCGATGCATCTTCACTGTCTTATTGAATCGTCCAGTTTTCTTCGTCGCGACTAGAGACCGTATTTACGGAGTTTGCGGTGTATTTTTTATTTCTAGTAAAAATTTGCATTGAACTTTTCGTATTTTGATTCTGTTCCATTTGAGATTACTCGAGAGTGACAACCCTTACTAGTTGGAATGCCATCATTCACGTAGTGGATTAGGCGAGTATCAAATTTGATACTAGTCAAACGAGATGTGTGCTATCCTTTTATAGACGGTGATGTAATATAGAGAACACATGGTAAAAATAACCTCTTCGTAAGTATTAAAATGTTGAAACTTTTGGATTTTCATGCATCCTAGGAGTTCTGTTTACTGTTTGATGATACAGATGGGTTAGATGATATATGTGTATACATATAGATAAACATATATGTATATATATATATATATAGGTTGGACTTGCAATTTTACAAGGACATTAGCACAGATATAGACTCTCTAAAGGCCCCGGGAGTACCAGAAAATCATGTGTAATTTCATTTCCCTGCGGTACACGGGTGTGAAACCCCATGTCAAAACCAATTTCGTAAAGGTCACGCGAAATCAATTCAGTTGAAAATTATTTCTGGAATGTCTACCGCTGCTTTATTAACCATCGCTTCGCTACCCTAAGAATATTTTATAAAATGTCATTCGTTCCATTAAAAAATATTAGATTAATACTGTTATAATACCCATAGCTACTACGATTAATCGAATAGGCAACCGGTGGGTTGCCACACATTTATAAGGTTTCTACCACTTGCCATAATATTTAATCGAAATAGTCCTGCAAATTTGTTCAAACACGTCAAACGCAGTGTCATCATTGCAATAAATATATATGTCATATTAACAGACATAAATGCCTCGCAGGGATCACATTACTTTTTCGATATACTCTTCAGCCACTCAGCATTCACAGTCCGATGAATCACGATAAACGTGCAAAATTGTGAAAACGGAAAAACGCTACATCTACAAAAAAGGTGAAAATTTTACAATATAGAGCCTAGCTAAAAAAACAAGGGTAGCATATTTTCATTATTTTTATTTTCACGCATACCTTAGTCTCGAAAACGACAGATCAACATACACTATATTCCCCGTTGTATTATTTTGACAATAAAGGTTCATGTACGCAAGCTAGCCGTGAAGATGTTACAAAAAATCTTGTTTCTTTCGAAGTAACATTCGCCTCAGTACGTGGGCACTGGTTTTGCACTCACTAAGCACGCGATGAATAGACACGCATAAACACGCGCGAACGAGCCGACGAAGCTGCTCGTTAACTTAGACGCCGACAAACATCCGGGTTCCGGTAGACCTTTTCGTCCGCTTGCTCGACTTCGCGATATTGCAACGTTTTTACGTCGCCGTTAACCAATCGCCCGCCGCGTCACATCCGGTTCCGGCCAAGTGTGACAGAACACAGACGACAGTATGACCTTCGACGGACGCTCGGCCTGGCATAAATGCATTAATGTACGCCAATCAACGATCAACCGGAGCGCTAGCTCCTTGGAATATTTAGTTGTGAAAGACTGGATGATCACCTACGGTTACAGTACCACAAGCCATTGTCTACTTTTAAGGATCTCAGGGACGCACTTATTGCTGCAAAATTACTTTTCGTTTACTATCTTATACTTATTATTGCAGTATACTTGTGTCGTAGGGAATAACAATACGATCCTAGTAAAATATACATGTAATATCATGCAGATTATAAATTCTTAATCAACCTATTGTGCATATATACATATACTATGAGTATAACAGTATCGCTTTCATTGGAACTGTTATCAGATAGAAATAGGTCTTGTTAAGTAAACATACACTGTCTGACGTTATAGCATATGAACGCCTCTTTTATAAGTTCCATGAACCACTAATGGAATGACTAGTGTACAGTGTGGTTGTACGTAAGTAGCTTTAAAAATCCTCAACTTGCATTCACAGAAATAAACGGTCATACCTATATATGTATATATATAATGTATGTAAGATATTTATAATAACAAAAGAATAAATTTCCTTGACTATAAAATACTGGCCTGTACTTCCTCAGGATAGGTTAAGCACATCCTGCGGGCGTTCCTTTCTAAATTACACAGGACTTCCGTTTACATGTATATCCGGATCTTCTACGTTTACAACCGTTATAGTAATTCTTTAAGAGGATTCGTGCCTTTCGGCGAGCAAACTGAAATGTGTTGTTCACAGTCTCAGCCACATATACGTACATGCAAAGTATCCTAAGCACTGTAGGGGGCATGGTGAATACGTTTGTACTCTTATACATCTATACCAAGGACCAACAACAGACGTCCTAAACCCATAGAAAATCAGGATCCTTGGAAGTTTCGAGAAAAAAAAAAACCAAACAAAAGAAACAATTCACGCAGACTACGGGTTCGCAATAGAAACAGGACGAAGGGATCGACCACCGAGAGAAGATCTTCGGGTTGGGAACCGGTCGTTTCTCAGAACAGAGGCTCAAAGGTGCATCCTGCTTGGCGTGAGGTCTTAAGTCCTTACTTCCGCCTCAGAGCGATACATTCTCCTACTCTTTAAACTCATTCGTTTTGTCTTCCCTGTTCTATCTCTATTACTCTCGTGGTACTTATCTTCTTTTCTCTCTCTCTCTCTCTCTCTCTCTCTCTATTTCTCTCTTGACTTTTACCAAAAAAAGAGGCTGACGCGTGAAAATATTTACGTTCGAAAACGTCACGTTACGCTGTATGGAAAATTATACGGATTCCAATTAACCAGAACCTCGTTGTGAGAAATAATAAAGAAAAATAAATGGACTCCTATAAATTTATTTCACCAATGATAACGTAACGGCCTAATAGATTAATTTGAAATTTTTCTATTTTCGAAAGCATGCCAAATCGAATAGTATTATGTACGCTCTTTCTCATAATCCTATATTTCCCTTTTTGTATATAATGTTTTGATAAAGATTCTTTTCCTTGTCTGTACTATAGTAGCGTATTTACGATATCACAGTGGCAGCTGTATATTATATCATGCTATACGCCGCGGTTATTAATGAATTGCAGTGACGTAAATGGGTGGAAGCCTTAAGTGTCAACCAAAACGTCAGATCTTCATTGACGTTTTGCACGACGGAG